TGTCAGCAATGTAGACCATGGCCTGCCAGGGGACATGAGGAGCCAGGGTCCCCCCAATCATTCTTCTGGACCGGAGTGATGGTAACCTGGAGGCTGGGAAACAAACAACAGGACATATTTATTCATATTGTATTGGGCCAAAGCGCAAAACCTTCTACCTGCAGAATTTTCTGATTGCTGGATTTCACTTTGGATGATGAGAACAAGGAGTTCTGTTTTAAAATAATCCCGCCCTTCATTGAAACTTAATTTAGAGCATCGTTTTGTAGAACCTCTTCCAACTTGCACCAAGTGCAAAAGATCCTATCTGCAAAATGATCCAGGCGTTTTTCAGATAGGAGGTTTTGCTCTTCAGCCATATCTACTATATCTGTGTCTATGTACTGTTTGTTGTTTTGTATTTGAACGATTTTTCTTGATTTGTTTCATATTCACAGATATTGTTCCCATATGACCTACAATGTAAATTTAGTAAACACAACAAGGCTTTTGATGACATTGATCACATTTAGTTAAAAATGATATTCCCGTGGGTTTTGAGTGTTCTGCTTACATCTGGTTCAAATCTTGTCTATCTGGTAAAATTCAGACTTTTGTTTTCGGTGGTTTAAAATCAAGTGGTTGATAAGGGTGATCCACAAGGACTAAAATTAGGGCTCCTCCTATTAACTATCACCACCTTGTAGGCCTCCGACTCCACCACAAACCAGACTTTATCCTGGTTACAGTTTACTTTCTTTGATGGCATTGATAATTAAACTCAAAGCTCAGTCTAAACTCTAGGAAGAGAACTGGTATACATTTCACAAAAACAACCTTCGGCGTTCCTTTTCTTTCCAAATCTCAATGAGTCCTCCTGAATATATAAAGCTTAGCTAACTAACTACTTAGATTAATTCCAAGATGGCTGTTTTGAGCTCAGATATTAACGCTTCGCCAGTTTGAGTAGTTTATCTCTGTGTGTTGAACACTGTTGACAGCATTTTTGTTCTAACCCGTTTCCCTTCTCGTAGAAGTTTAACATATTTAATAAAAAATGGTCTCCTTGACACTAAGGTTATCACTTTTGTTCCTCCAGAAACACTGGCCTCTAATTTATTTATTATGACGCCAAGAACAAAATCCATCCACTCGCTGTGCTTTGATCCACAAGTCCTTTGTGCTGCTGAGATAATCATGAAAACCGGTTCAAGTGATCTTCTGTTCAGAGTGATGCAACATGCTTAGTACACAGATGGCTCCATTCTGCACTGTACAAACTAACTATTCATGATTACTAACATCATGACAGGGTTTATTTATCAAGAAGTATTTCTGGTGTCTTGTTTAAATCAACGTATTAAAAACAGTAAACAATGGCTTTCAAGCTTTCAAGCGCAATTAAATGAATTAGTTTGATGCATTAGAGAGACTGCATGAATATGACATATGAAAATGGTACATAGTTCTGTTACATTTAATCTTTTCTCTCATTATTTTCGTCTTTTTACTGATAATTAGCTTCTTTTCAATCAACAAATGATTCATCAAACTCTTTATCCACTTGTACAATCTCTTAAAATCTGTTATTTTTCTTATGGCTTCCTCTTAACTGATGGAATGTTTTAATGTTTTTAATAAAGTTAATCTAATTTAATCTTTCACTTTTGATTTACTGTCTTTTATTCCTGGTTTGACTGTACTGCATTTTGTAACTGTATTTTTGAAAAGGTGCGAAATAAATATTTTATATCAAAAGTAATTGTTTAAAAGATTCCCATCAGCCTCAGCTGTACTTTATTATTAATGCTAATCAGCATATGTTATCTTGTGTTAAAATAATGTGGTGAACATGGGACACATCATACCTGCTAAACTTCAGCATGTTATCATTGTCATTGATAGTAGTTCACATTAGCAGTTACCCCAAAGCAACACTGTGCTTAAGTACAGCCTCAGCTGCTGGTACTGTATGGCTGTAGACTTATCATAAATATAGAATATCGATGTAAAAACTAGAACTTGTTTTTTAATTAAGACACCATGTTTGTCTGTGTATAGCATATTTGTGTTTGCTAGCGTGTGCTACCTGACACAGAGCGTCTCGTCCTTTCTTCGGTTTGAGCCAGACAGGCCCATGCAGCCAAGTAGAGCAGAGTCAGAGAAACCCTTCAAACAACACATTCGCACAATCAACAAACACTAAATGTTTCATTGTCCATACAAGGAACAAGAATGACAAATTGTAAACAAATCAGTTATCCAAGTATTTGATTTACTAGAGCTCACAAATCATTTCTGGATCATTATTGGAAAATTCAACCACGTTAGATTGCATTTTAAAAAGATATTAGATCAGTTCTTTCATAGTAAAACTATGATTACTTACAGATTGTAACCCTTTTGCTGTAATTATTGTTGAGGCTCAGCTAGAATGTTTTTAGTCCTAAATATAAAACATTTGAGACTAAGGAAGAGATTTACAATCAGGTGTATTCAGGGAGATAAATGACAAAATAATATTTTAACTTACCACATGTTGTTGATGATATTCATCTTCTGCAGTGATGGCTACACTCTCTTCTTCTTGAGTGTGCTGTACATTTTGGAGCAGGGAGTATTTATATCTGTTGAGATATTGAGCGTCTGCCAGGGAAACTTGTGCTTGGCAGAAAAAAGTTGATTCTGAAATAAAGGTTTGTGAAATCTCAATTTCACCAGCACAGGTTTATTGTGTAATAAAGGGAATTCAGGTCAGTCTGTAACACTACACAGTAATGTCAACAATACTACAGCACAACATTTCTCGTGAACGTTTTCATCGTTCTGATCATGTGGTAAAAAACATCCTGATCATGTTTTAATTCATAGTTGAGTTATGGTAGATTCAGCTTTTATTTACGTCTGTAGCTCTTCTGTGGAGGTTTTGCAAAGTAAAGCTACTTCAGAAGTCAGTGTTTCAATTGCAAAAGAAGACGGTTGACACTTTGTACCGTTTGTATCATAGTTTTGCATCACAGTTTACCACAGGTAAACAAGGCTGGCTGAGTCTAACATTTCTATCTCTTGTGGATGAGATGGTAATGATATTGCAACACACTGTGCTGTTTAATTTGTTATTACATAAAATAAAGCACATATTGCCTCATTCGATTTTAAAGCAGGGAACAAATAAACACAATGTTCCATCAAATTCCTGGCAGTAAATAGTGACAGCAGTGAGTCAGATGTGCAGGAGGAAAGTCCAGCATTACTAGTTTGGGTGTTTACAAGAGGTTACAGAAGTTTATAATTAGTAAAACATGTATAATTGAATTATATTATATTTCAGAGTTTGCTGCCTTGATCAATTTGGCGTCTTCGATTACATTGTTTTAAATTATAAAAAAGCAGTTGTCAAATAGTTTAATATCAACTGCCATCAGCGACAATTTGTTCCTACAAAGTATGCACAGGTTACAGTGTTTGGAATAACAATCATAAAACTATTTTTTTGCTCATCATCTTATTTTGCATTTTCTTTTTTCATCTTTACAATTTTCCTCTACTAGTTTCCAGTTTTCATATCATACCAGTACAAACAAAGTAAGTAGACATGGTCTCACCCAAACTATTTATATTTCAATATAGTCAATCCAATGCCAACACAAATGCATAAGCATACTGATAGATATGAAATACAAAAAAAGGCTACGGATTAAGCTAAAAATAGAATACAATGAATCTTATACAAACACACAAGGGTGGATTTATATTGCACCATATATATATATATATATATATATATATATACAGTATATATGAATACTGACAGAAAATGTACAGAAACAACATGGAAGGCAAGCCTCCCTTCCCCTTCCATGTTGTCAGCAGCACACAAGTTCCCACATTTAACAAGCCTGACTAGATTTCAGATTCATATCTTGGACTTGAAAGTTTCCTGAAGGTTATCTGTTAAAGCATATCATTGGATATGAAAATCAAACACTGGTTTCAAATGAAGTCATTTCACAGTGGCGGTGTGGATAAAGCTTTACATTATTCAGTGACCTGAGGCTAGTGCACCCTCAACTTGATCAAACACAGAAGCTGATCATAAGGAAGCGGAACTGAGCTGGAATACAGGTAAAGACTAGTTTCCTGAGAACCTTTATTTGACAGTATTCAGAATCTGAGCTTCATTTTTATATTTCAGTTTCAAAGTCGTTGCTGTTGAATAACTTGTCTCTGAGATATGTACATTTGCATGCAGAGGTAGTGTCAAGGCAAGGGCAAATCAGTGATGTGTCCTGCAACATGCTGCCCAGTGTCTCAGACCATGTCCGAGGGCAGGGGCCTCACTTGAGTGCTGTAGTTTCTGCTCACTAGGGGCAACAAAGAGGAGAGGACATGACCCATGTGCCAGGCATGATCAAAGCCACGGACATGGGCCAAGGCCATCGGGGGGCAAAGCCGGACAAATGAGAGCATCCATTAGAGGATGGGTGCATTTCCCCCCGTCTCATACTGTTATACAGTCTCCTCTCGTTAGTGCAATGTAATATCTCTCTGTGGCTCTATTTCCATCTGTGTCTCTCTCATTCATTCTGTGTCTGTTTTTTTTTATTTTTCACGGGATCCGAGGCTTAGAAATGTAGAACTAGAGATCATTGTCATTAGTTTGGGCACAACAAAGATACAAAGAGTGAATGTGTACAGCAAAGAAACAGATGCTTGAGGGCAAAGTTAAAGAGTTAAATAAATATATAACGAAGCGTGGCCCGAAAGCAAGGGTTCCACAGTGACGGAGGCTGTAAGCTCCGAAGCATGAGAGATGTTTGGGGAACGAGGGGGAGAAGATGAGAGGAGGTAGAGGAGGCACATCAGAGGGCGAACGTGGGAGGAAGAGTGAGAAAGGAGCTGCTGTGGACTTTACCTTGAAGCTCCGAGGGAAGAGCTGATAAGCTGATAAGAGCTGATAAGGCGCTCAGAGGGTGAGGGGCAGAGAGGGGAGGAGAGGGGAGGAAGAAGCTGGAGGTTGAGCGCTCCACAGCACGAGAGAGGTGGAGGAGAGGCTGAATCGCAGCGACAGAGAGCTGGAGTGCGCGAGAGGCTCTGTGCTGAATGTGTGCTTCTCAGGAGAATGAATAATAGGAAGACTCCATCTCCACTCTCTTCTTCTCTGGATTTTACCTCCACTAATTCAGCGCTTTCATACTGGATTGTTTTGCTGTTATCAACCTCTGTCTGCAGAACTGCTCTTTGGTCCATCATAGTGGAAATGCCGGTAAGATAACGTATGTGTGGTATTAGATGACAGGCCTTTTCCACGATAAATACCACACAAGGAGATAAAACATTTCTACATTTGTTTGTTTTTAAAAGAAACTTCTGTTTTAGCAATGACTAAAAATGGATGCGTGTCAGGCTGCACTCACATATGCGTTTGCATATGAATAATTACTTTGCTTAGACTAATTTAGTGTTAGCGCTCTTGAGTGATATTCATTTGCAATGTATTACATTTTTTTTTTTAACTGACAAGCATGTACATTTCTGGAGTAAAAGGTTTCTTTATTATTGTCTCAAGTTAATTGACTATGTCTTCCAGGTTTGATACATTTAATTATTATTAACTAGCATATAGCAATGTCTGTCATCAAAATATTTCAATTAAAAAAATGGACTGACTATGAGTAATGCTTTCCCACATTTACATGGCAGAGAAATCCCTGGGAATGTAACAGGAAAATGTACTTCATAATGACACAATGTAAATAATTGGGTACATTTTTTCCCGCCCATTTGCTGTCTTTCGATGTACTCATACATTAATCGGCTCTCACCTGCATACACTTAAATCTGTCCTGTTCAATTTGAATTTCACTTTTCAAAGATATTGTTGCAGTTTTTGAATTTTGATACACTGTAATACACAATAAATACTTGTTGGATATCTACAAGAGAAGAAGACCAAAGGTCAGGACATCATGGGTTAACAGTTTAGTGTTTAAGAGCAACATTAAAATAAATTACACCGGAAGATTATTTAAATTACTGAACAGCTATGTAATACGTTCTGTGTGCAATAGTAATACTATTGGGTAAGGAGCAATGAACGATGTTCTAACAGCGATACAATACGCTATCATGATGCAGAGGTAATGATTCAATATATTGCTATTTGTAAGCAAGGTGATTTTTTAAAATCTAATTTTAGGAAAGTCATTGTATAAAGAACACACCGTCAGTTGCAGACATTTTTTGATGCAATCAGTGGGACCGGCATTTGCATTTTTCACAGTTCTGTAACATCCAACATCAAAGCTTTCGGGGGTTTAAACTCAACACAAAATGAACCACTGCCTGCCATGAATCTTTGGATAACTTTTATTTAAAAATCAATAGTCCTTTGAGAATCGATACAGTATCACAAATCATGATATTGCGATATACGAGTGTATCAATTTTTTCTTCCCCCTTAATTTATATTATCATTGAATTTAGAATTATGATGCATTTACAAAACATGACAAGAGCATTTACTATAATGAATATAGTTTTAATGTTATAAATGATTTCCTTTTATTTATTTTACAAAAGAATGGGCTTAGTCTGGGAAGAGGGGTGTGGCTTTATAAATTGAACTATAAAATATTTTACAGTTTAATAAATGTTTAAGTTTTTAAAAGAATACAGAGAAAAATAGAACTACTGTTGGGAGACAGACACATAGCGAGAATAAATGCTGCCAGAGAAAATGTATTGCCACAATTGTAAATGAGACATTAACACAGGAAAGTTAAAACAACAATAACAAGAAAGTAACACTTATGTGTTTAGAAATGTGTTGTTTGGGCAATTCTCTGACCAACACAAGGAAACAAACACAGACAGAATGACCAAAATGTGAAGAGAAAATTGTCATTCTGCTCATGTGCTGTGGCAGACGGCCTCAGGCGGCTTTAAACCAGCCTGTCCATCATTACTGCAAATGACCCTTCTGTGAATTGGGCGACCTGGCCTGAGAGCCAAGCCAAGCCCCCACAGTCTTCCTGCATATGCCTGACCTGTCACTCGGGGACACTGCCACTGTCAAAGGAAATTCACTGCATGCATGAACAACCTACACATAAACGCAGCTATTGCAGCACAATGGTCCCCAGAGGATGACAACTGTGACATCATTGAAGGGGCTTAGTTAAATATGGTGAATGAATGCTAGCTTCAGTTATTAGTTAGAGCTGATAATCGATTCAGAGAATCTCAACATCAAGATGGATTTTCACAAAAGCACAGATATTATTGCTTCCAACCCAGACATGTATTTTAATAACTTTGGTAATCCTGACTATCCTGCCACTAAGCAGTTGACATTTGTGTATGTTATTGAAATAACATTTTGTTGTTAAAACAGGCAATGTTTTATAGCAAACGTTACTCACATAGAAGTAGTGGATTTGTTGGCGCCTATATTTTCATGGGCAGATTAATCCACATTTTGTGCTCTTTGAGCATTGACAGCACCAAGATGTGATCGAGTTAAACTACAGTTCCGTGTTCATAATGAACAAGAAGAACAAAAATCACACTCACTGTTGGATTTTTGTTCCCCTGTTGGCTTCTGATGGTATATAACAGTCAATCCATAATGCTCAGTTTGGTTCACTCCAACCCAAGGGTGGCCTTGAAATGTATTGGGAGAAAACGTCAGTCAGATTTACGTGAAGTAATGAACACCTGCTATTCCCAATCACAATTATTTGTAAAAACCTACAAAACATCACGACGACAGTGGCTCCTGGGAATATAGGATGACTGCATACTCATAATTGCTCATCAACGGCACCTTAAGTGAGGTGCTTGTTAGCTTACGGTAATACTATGATGAACACACATCCATGATAGGCCTACATACGGTATCTTTATAGATAAAGTGTAACTTACATTTTCCGAAGATATCGTTATCTTTGACATCCATGGTGAATTAATGTCCATAAATCCACTTCAAAATTTATAAGGGAAAAGACGCTCCTTCATTTCTCCAGAACTTGCCTGAGAATCATCACGTTTTGCACTTGTCTCAGTTTTGTAAGAGGGGGTGGGGGGCGCATAATGTCAGATTTTGAAAACTGATCCACTGTTTATGATCCAGAGCTTCATCATCCTGATTAAAATAAATACTTATAAATCCTGTGTTTGAAGCATAGAGTCTATGGTTTGAAGAGGTTTTGGCAAACACATTAGGCCTACTCGTCTTATTACATTACATTCATTTAGCTGACCTTGTTATCCAAAACAACCTACAATAAATGCATGGAACTATAATACAAGTACATCAACTTCAGCAAATATGTTGAACTATTTCAAGTGGGCAACAACAATTAGAGAAAATAAGAGCTGGAGAAAGAGTTTTTATCTATATTCATTTAATATATTCCAAGAAGACACACACACACAATGATGGCCCATTTTAGGCCATGTTGTGCTGTGTTTGTATTTTATTTTCCGCTTACACAAACACAGGTAGGCCTAGATTTCTCAATCTGTACTGATTATGAAGATGCTGGGGTTGTATCTCTCTAACAGATCCGTGTGTGTGTGTGTGTGTGTGTGTGTGTTGTCTTTCCTCTCAGCTGCTTGTCTCATCACGCCTGAGGTCTTGCCACAAGGAAGACTTCCGCCTGTCATCTTCACTCAAGGTAAAGGCAAAAAGCCCATTAATGGCTTTTCACTTAAATTAAAAGTAAAGGAATTGCTCTGTTATGACATGAAAACAATTGCCTAAAGGTTTTAAAAATACTGTTCATTTACAGCAAATCGTTTCATAGTTACTTTTTACCATCCCCATTTACACTGCACGAAATAATTGATTTAATGATCTACGACGTATTTGATTGACTCATGTTATACAGTAAAAAACTGAAGCAGAGTTAAAGGATTCACTGATTGGTGCCAGAATATCTCGTCTTTCCCTCCCAAGCCTCTAAGTATTTTAAAGGGTAGGACTATCACTTCAGTTTTTAAAATATTCACAAGATTCATATAATGTTAACATTCAAAACACTATTTTGTAAATCTTGGCCTCTTGGAAATGATATCCTTGAAGGTATGACATTTGCTGTATTAGTGTCAAAGGTGTGAAGTGAATATCAAAAGCATAAAGGCAGATATTCTCCCAGTCTGACTTTCACCAAACAGAACAACAGAGGAGGATTCTGCTAAACCCAGGATTACAGTTAGTTACAGCGTATACCTCAATATTAAATAATGCTTAAATACAGTGTATTTTCATGTTCTCTACATGTGACTGGTGTTGACAGCATTATTTATGCAGCATATGCGTCCCAGATCCTAAATGAGTCTATTAGGATTAGAAGAGGAGACAGGCCTCCCTGAGATCTGATTGACCCCTACAAGGTAACATCACCTTCATCACCAGGCCCAGCTTGTAACAAAGGGATATATTTGACTACATATTGTTGTTTTCTTTGAAAGGTCAAAAAAATAATTAATATTGCAATGGGTGTTATTATTTTTACACGTACAGCTGTGGAGTCTATGGACCCCAAACAGTGAGGAAGTATAACCATTCTCAACATAACACAAGGGTTAATTTTTAGGGAGACTCGGCTGTGCCTTTAGTTAAGCATGCTTGAGCAGCTTATAAAAGACACTGTACACGGATGTCACTGTCTATTGCGTAACAAGGCAGAGAGCCTTGGAGAAAGACACATAACTACATGCTGTCCTCTCTGAATGCTTGTATGATTTCTAAGTAAATACCAAGCATATAGTATATAACAATATAGGCACAAATACAGCTGATTGAATCACATAAAGGAATGCTGCTGTTGATCAACCATTTCCACTTCATGTATCCATTCGACTTTCTATGCTGTTAGCACTGCAAACGGATATCATAGAAAAACAAGAAAGGATTGACAAGTTGTATTATCTCTTACCCGTTTCCATACAGATATGTTTTTATTAGAGATTACAGTATATTTATTTGGCTCACTGTATTTACAATTCCTTTTTACAATCAGTGTCTGTGAATCTAATTTGTGGAAGGTCAAATTGAGTCTTTATTAAATCCTGAACTATATGCTGGTCTCACACTACACACCTTCAAGTGTTTTTTTTTCTGCTTCTCAAGAACCTCTCATTATTCTCAGGCTACTGCTAATAACTTGAAATGGATTTCAAGTCTCATAACTGTGATGTTTTGTTGGCTGTTCCTGCACCCAAGGCCAGAGTGAAAACATGGGATTTGATTTTGTTCTGGTCTGAACATGTCTTTTCCTGTTACCTTATGTTTTCTTGGATGTGTGTACCTTCCTGTTTTCCAGCCCAGAGAACAGCATCAATGATTGAAGGACCCGTGTATTTGGTTGTCAGCTGAGGGAGACATTTGGTCCTAAACTTAGAGTCTCTGCATAGGTACCGACAGATTGAGGTGCTTCCAACAGTGTTAGGGCACAAGAAAAGCATGTAACCACAAAATCACTGCCCATACTTTTTTTTTTTTTTTTTAAATCAAAGCTACATGGTTGATGGGAGAGTGTTGATTTGTTTTTAAGTGAGAGAGAGAGTTGTGCCATAAAACTTGACATGCAGATCAATGACATACTGTACTTTATATTGCTTCTTACAATATAGGTTCTTTATTTCGACGGACCATTTAACTGCTTTCATATATTTTTCATTTCTCATCAGTATAGTGACCCAGTCCAGGACATGGTCTCCTGAGCGGCCCTACCGCCTACAAATCACAAGGGGTAAATCCAGTCTATCCTGGGCCATGACTGCTCTGCTTTCCAACGTCAGTGTTCCTGGGAGTACAGCAGTTCTGCTGCCGACTACAGACTGTCCGTTTAATGTCACTGCAGCTGCTCAGGAAGGACTCGGTTCAGGCCAGTCACTGGCGCCGCTCTGCACCCTCTGTTGCTGTGGATTTATCAATCGCACTTTGGCAGTGGTGTTCATGGTCAGCCTGGCATTTGCTGTCGTGGTTGGAAATGTGGTCACCCTTACTGTCTTTGTGCAAACAAGGCAGTCCCGAACACCACAGGGATACCTGAAAGGTAAATGCTGTTAATCATATTAGCATTCAATGCAAATCTGTCATTAAACTAATAAACTTAGATTAGTGTTGAAGTGCTTTCCACAGGGAAGGTTCCTTCCAGCAGAAATTCAATATTCATACTGAAAATAAATAAATGGCTAAATGGAATATCATGTTTTCTATTCAAATCAATATTGCTAATGAAGAATAATTGATCAACCTGCCAACACCAAAGGCCTTCTGAGGTCTAATTACAAAGATCTAATAGAACTTGGTGATTTATTGCATCACTTTATCTAATTGAGATGTTGCCCATCTTGCACCGACACAATTATAATTTAAATTCTCACACATTCTCACACTCATAGTGCAATTTTATCTAAAAGAGCTGGAAGTGTATTGACCAGAAAAAAAATGCTTGAATGTGTTCCCTTAGCCCTCCTTTTCTTGTTGTCTCTCTCTCTCTGACAGTGTCCCTGGCCATAGCGGACATGATGGTCGGTGTCCTCGTGGTCCCATTCTCCGTCTACACTGAAATCTCCCTGATGGTGACCAGCGCACCTCCCATTTGGTACCAGGGCAGTTCTATTTCACCGGCCACCTCCTCTTCTCTCGGGGGACTGCTGAGCCCTTGGCAGCCCTGCATGCTGATTGGTCCTGTGTTTGCCGGATGCACCTTTGTCTCCATCAGCACCATCTTCCTCATGACACTGGAGCGAAGCGTGGCCATCCTATGGCCCCTCCACAAGGACGCCCTGGTGACCCGGAGAAGAACTCTGCTCCTCATCCTGCTCTCCTGGGCTGCTAGCTTCCTGCTGGCTCTTGCGCCCCTCATCTTCAGCAGAAACTTCACTTTGGAGTACAATGAGTGCAGTCGTATGTGTAACTACACGCCGCTAATGCTCGGCAGCCAGCTGCCACCTGATGCCAACATTTTGCTGTTATTCCCAGCTTTTGACTTTACATTGCTCGGTGGCACATTAGCAGTGAACATTGTGTCTTTCACTAGCATCCGACGGTACACCCGAAAACGCAAACTGCTGTCAGAGGGGAGTCTGAGTGATGGAGGAGGAGGGGGAGGGGCAGGGGGAGGAGGAGGATGCTCTCACAGGCCCTCCTTTTCAGACATCAAAGCTGCCAAGACAATTGGCATACTGACATTCGCCTTCACAGCATCCTTCTCTCCCATCGCAGTGTTTGTGCTCGGGAACGTGGTGGGATACACCTGGTGTAACTTTTCCTTTCTTGCCTTCTGGATCCTGACAGGAAACAGTTGCTGTAATGTCATTATCTACAGTGTCAGGGACCACCGCTTCAGGAAGGGTGTGACCCTGCTCTTTCAGCGAGAACACTCCCCTCCACATGGCGAGAAGTCCTGAGGGATACGTGAATCTAAAAGTAACAAGCACATGTTTTGTGGTTGCTGTCCATTAAGTTTGATATTTAAAGGAATAGTTTGACATGTTGGGAAATATGCTTAGAAGAAACATCTGTACGATAAATATGTAGCTGGAGCTAGGCGCCTGGCTCTGACCAAAGGTAACAAAATCTGGCTACCAGCACACCTAAAGCTCTGTTATATATGTTATCTCCTCTATTTGTTAAAAATAAAAATAAAAGTGTTAAAACAACAAGTTGTGGTTTTACAAGAGGTGATGTTGTAAACTATTTATTGGCTGTAAAACCAAACATTTTTTACACTTTCACAACTGTCAAACTATTCCTTAAATTCAAATGTAAACTCCATGTGAGATTAACAAAGGTGATTCAAACAAACAAGCAATGCAACTGTTTGCTACTTAGAATTGTAAATGGAGCCAAATTTAAAATCTTTGAGCTCCTTCCAAATTTGTCTTTAGACAACCTGTCACCTTACTCTATCGTCAAACCTCTTTTCTGAAGCTTTACTTCAGAGGGCTTTTATGAGCTTTTCAATAACTTCAGGAACCAAACCTACTGTACTGTATCTCCTGGTGCAGCACTGACAATCCACAATAACCACACAGGTAATGTTTTGTTTTTATGGCAGTGGTGGGTTTGTCATCTATTAAATTACAAGGGATGTTGTTAATGTGTTTAGTCTTGCCTCCTCTTTGGAATGATGTGGGTTACAATTGTTTTGGTTTAGGGAACAGTTCATAATGTAGACTTGATTCTGTTGTGTTAGAGACATTTATTTTTGCGCATCTAACTTCAATCTATTGTCATAATAATCTGCCTCAAGTATCAGAAATGCACTTTATCAGTTACTATGTGAGCTATTTGCAGAAAGCCACATGTCAGGCAATGGTAATTTTGTACAAGTTTTATTGTTAGCGTTTTATAATATTCGGTATTTTTGTCAAACCAAATGTGAATGAAAAAAAGTTCTGCGTATTCATTAAATCAGTATAGACTAATTGAATGGGACGCCAACAGAGATTCAGTATGAAGAGCATTATGATTAAAGCAGACCCTCATACTGTGCCGGCCTATCTTTTCAGGGTGTAATTTACTTGTAACATATCAAATTATCTCACCAGTTTGTCAGCTATAAGTCTTGAGTATTGTTGACACATAAATAAATCAGGTTGTAGGGCATTTTGCAGCATAAATGCTATATTTCCATTTGTAAAATTGTTGCATTGCTGCATTTAATTCAGCCATAACTGAAGACCTTTGATATGTTAACAATTCGGTAACAGAATCAACAAAAACAGGGGAAACTAAAAAACATAAGAAAGATGTTTTTCAGGCTATAAATTGCTCTAAATTGTTTTAAGATTTATTCTGTGACTCAACATTTATCCAATAATTCAACTAGAAGGGTGCACTCAGTAGTGTGCAGATCTCCGCCAGTGTGTCAACAACAACAACAATGGCATCGACTACTGCTGTATTGTGTGATTGGATGAATACAACTAACAATTGGTTAACTCCCCGCCTAGACACCAACGGGCTGTAAGACACACCTAATTCAAATTCTAAAGCAAGCAGCGATGAATGCAGGCAATCGGCTCAAAGTCGTCGTACGTCCTTATCTCTAATATGTTAAGTATGAACGTGAAATTATTTTTCTAGTTTAAAAATCTGCAACATTCATGGAAAAGTTGGAAATCTACAGTGTCCTAATCATTGTTGGCTCTGTGTAAGAAAACATGATTATTATTGTGCTGGTATTGAATAACTGTTCAGGCTTGTATCAGTAGTGCGTAAGTATCAGTGGTGATTGCATCAGATTTGGTAATAATAAATGTGTTTGGGAACATTTCATTTGTGAGTTTAATGGGGTTCAGTGGGACAGTAATGCACTCAGCTCACTGCTAACCTTAGCAGTTACACAACCTTCTGTAAAACAACCTCAGCACTTCTTCATTTACTCTGGAGTATTATTGGCTTGATCCCATGTTATGCAATTTGGAGAAGGAGCTACAGTTACACCACAGGATACCTAAAGACCCCCAGCTAACTGCTAATGTCGGCAGCGATGTGATAACAGCGCACTCAGCCTCTAGTCCCAACATGAAATAAATGATCTGACACTTGACTGTTCATGTGACCCAGATCAAGAGTGAGAAAGACAAGATTGTCAGAAGGAGCGCTGGGGAGAAGGACAAAGACAATGAAAGAGAGAATAAATCATGGATCCTGACATGGATTATGTAACCAATAGGCATATGAGTCACTTATAAAACATCATATCATATCATTTAGTCAGCCTGATTTGTATTTACAGTGCAGACTCATTCATCAATCATTACATGATATCCTTACATTAACAGTCCCATCAGTCATATTCTTTGAGCCTGGTGTTACATCTTTGGAAGGCTACAGGCTGACATCATCGTTCACTGTCCAAAAGGCGTTCAAACACAGCTGCTGTAGCAGGACACTTACTTGCATAAGGTGGAAAATTATCCGCAGCGAGGTGGTAACTTTTCAAAATATACCTTGTTGTAAACTGACTCCATGCACGCTAGGGATTTGTGTTAAAGCATAAAAGTCCCTTTTTAGTTGTAGTTTGTATTGTTTCTTCTGAAGTTGCTTCACTGGCTCCTATCTCCCACTTCTCAATATATATGGATGGCATATTAATATAGTATAATATACATATAATACTTTATATGTGAAGTTTTACAGTTTTCCATCTGGTTTTCCCTCATGTATCCTCCTGTCACACATGCCACCAGGTCTAGTTTCCGATTACCATTTAAGCACACTTCATTGTTCTTTTATCACTTCCTGAGCTCTGAATGGTCGGGTTAATAGTTACATACTTCCCCTGTATGGCAAGGTCAGTCTAAGATCCTATGAAGGGGGCTTGTTAGATTTAGATCCCTCCAGGCCCAAATTAAAGATCGCATATCATGCTGATTTTCTGGATCATACTTTTATTTTGCGTTTTGACTAGAACATGTTTAACATGATTCAGTATTCAGTATATATATATATATATATATATATATATATATATTCAGTATAACCTGTATTCATCCTCTGTCTGAAACGATTTAAGCACCCCTCCTGAAAAAGCCCAGTCTGCTCTGACTGGCTTACGAGAAAAACATGCCGCACCTTAGCAAAGGTTGTTCCCAAGCTGTGAGTGGAAATACTCAGATAGGTAGCAGTATATTATCATGAGCCTGCATGTGACATAGGAAGGAGAGACAAATCTGAATGTGTTGTTGATTCACATTTCACAGTTTATTGGCTGGTATGTACTCCAGAAACCCAGATGAATGTGCACAAGCGATGAAAAAGCGGGTTTTTATATGTCCCCTTAATGATCTGACCTTTTAATGGTTTAAGCTTCAAATGTAAGGATAACTTGTCCAGGGATTACATGACAGGGCTATTTTGTAATTTCATGTTGCAGGGCATAAAACATGGCGCACCAACCCAGTTAATCACTCACAAAGTCACTTCAAAGGCACTAGAAAGCTGCTTTTCATAATGACTGTACTTGTGTAAAATGACAGTTAATATAATGTGTCATGTGTAACAGCTTGTGACTAAAAACATTTATGGTAATCCGAGCAAAAGGTGTTTTGTAGTGAAGGAAGGATTCAAAAAAGAAAATACAAATTCAGTCCCTTATAAATGAGCTACAGACAGCAAAGACTGATTTGCAAGTAAACAAAAAAACAGGATGATGGTTATTTGTTAGTCAGAATCATTTAAATGTGGTCAAATGTCTGGGGATAGTGTGCTTGAGCTCAATCTCTTAAAGAGACCAGCTGAGGAGCATAACAATTAACTGAAATGAGTTAAAGGCGGAAGTGAATTTCCGGGCTCCAAACAATGAAGTCCATAAATAAATGTCCCTCTGTATTGTAATTTTTAGGGTTACAGGAGGGCAGCTTTGCTTTCCATATTATCTGTATCTCTATAGTTACACCACAACACGATGACACCGACACACATGCACACTAGTGCCGCCAGAAAGAGACATTGTACACGATAGGTCAGAGCACTTTGGAGCCTCAGCAAGGTTGTGTATTGTCTGTCCTATTTATTTTTTATTCTCTCTGGTTTCATTGTCCTAATGAATTTTTTATTATCTCTCGAAGCTCTTAAGGCAAGAGATGTGTGTCACAACCGATAAAGCACAGAGACCACCTGTGGCTGGTGTCTGTTTTTGGCTCAACAGAGGAAAGGGCAAAGGCAGAGATGGCTAGGAGGGGTGATAGGGAGGGCTGGCTTTGAGAGTGATGCTGTTTTTTCCTCCACAGGGGAAACAACACGCTGCGTCCACTCCAGGTTCACAGGAGTCTGTAAGATTACAATAAAGTATAAAATGAGATTAAAAAACAGGAAATGCCTTCATCTTTTTATCTTTCCCATACTATAACCGCACTACTTCTGCTAATGTTGTTCTTCTTCTGACAATTAAAGCAAAGTTTGAGGTATGACAAGAGGGATATGTATTTTAGTGTACATTTTAATTTACAACTATATGCTAATAAACTTTGTTTAAAGACAGTGGACTCGTGACATATCGGTTTAACTTAAAGTGTTCTCTTTTGGGATGATAAAATATGAATATGGAAAGGAAGAAGTATGTTGTATAGAATTTATCAAAGAAGCAGAGAGCTTTATGTGCCCAGTTTAGATCTGGTATGTTACCACTGAATGTTGGAAATGGACAGTATGTCAGTGTGGAAGAAGAAAATCTTAATGATAAAAAGGTTTGTAAGGCTGCTTTTACGAAGTTCATTATAAAATAAAATCAATAAATGATAAAAAACAATAAGGAGTTATATCACAGTTACAGTGCATTAGGTTTCCTAAATTCAATAAAGGACATGCAGTGAAAGTGCAGTAAAGAAAACTATCAATCAAAGGCAATAGCTGACCTTTCAAAGAGAAGGAAATAAAAGCAAACCACCTCTGTTGTTTATTATCTTTTAATTCAGTGCAGGAACCCTGAATAACCATGTGATCAAACTGTATAAAACCACCATTATGTAATTAAGGAAACACACATCTTAACCACAATATCACTGTCCCTGACCGATGTTGTTCCACTGAGAAGAGATGCGAGTTGTAAACTTTGTCTAGTTACCCTGTGCTTTGCTACAGTGAGGCTATAGTTCAGCTGTTGTCTTATTGAGGGACAATCAGTCCCTGACTCAATGGACTGATTGCCTGCTGCTCTTAACTGTAATTGGCTTTTGGCTGGCATTCCCATTATGTCTCACTCATAGTATATACTATGTCAATCAGTTTACTGCTGAAGTGGTGTGCAGAGAAAATTGGAAAAGCTGAATTAAAGTGTGTGATTGATTGCACATGCAGACTTTCTCTCACTGTCCTCATAGAACGTTTCTATCTTCCAGAAAAGAGGAGACGCTCCTTTGAGAGTTCAGAAACAACAGCTCCATCGCCGGCCGTCCTTCCTGCTCGGTCCCACACCTCGCAGATATGTCAGCTAGATTATTCACAGTGTGGCCCAAGTGATGCCACCTGCCCAGCAGACCAAGCCTCAGATAAGTGGACTGCTGGTCTGGTGTCAGGTCTACGTGGAGTCTGTGCTGATGTGGCCCTCTATGAGCATCCACCTGCACAGTTCATCCAGAGGCTCCTCAGTTAACTCACTATTGCACTTAACTTGAGTGGTCCTGTCACTGCAGCTCGTCCTCAGACAGAGAAGTTGCTCTGTAATATTTATCACAGGGGTTTTACTGTGTTTGAGGAAGGTGGTATAATAACACAACAGCTCCTGAAATCATCAGCTTCCCGGCAAGAGGCACAAAACAAACTTAGATCAGTTTCATCAGTCTGTTACATCATCCAAACTGATAATGCATTCATTACTATTAAACACCACAAACAAATAGTATGCATGCTTAATGTATTAAGCCCCATTCTTCTTACTAATTAACAGCTTTCTTTGTGTATCTTCTATCAGATTCAATGTAAAGTCTCAATAAAGTAATAGGTAATAACAATCAAACAATAACAACAAAGTAATGTATTTTGTTGACGGAGTATATTTGCTTCTTCTGTATATATGTGTGTATTTAATGTATGTATAGGAGTTAACACATTAAAGGGCTGTACTGCAACCACTTCCAGGATTGAGTGATGGTTATCTCTGATGCCTTTCAGCCGACTTGTTTACCGCTTTCTTGGGCTAATAAGGGCTGAAGTCCCATATGGCTTTACTGCATGGCTGAGAGTGAGTGGGTGTTTGCTACTCTTTGCAAGTTGATTTCCTTCCTTCTTTCCTTCTTTCCTTCCTTCTATATGTCCTTCTTTCGATTCCTTCCGTTTATCCTTTCTTCTTTACTTCATCCTTCCTTCCGTCTTTCATTTCTTTCTTTACATCCTTGTTTCCTTTTGGCCGTCCTTCCTTATTTACTTTTTTCCATCTTCACTTCCTTCTTTACTCCCTTTTATTCTTTCTTTCCTCCCTTCCTGTATCAATCCCCTGCCTCCTGTGTTTTAGATGTAAACACACTCCCATCAGTGGTAATCGGTTTGGGCAGCGTAGTGTGTCGTTTATGTCCCTGTCTGCCTCCATCACACCTGTGACTTCCTGGAGCCAGAGGCTTCTAATGCTTTTTATAACCAGCCATCTGCAGGACACTAGACTGTAATCTTCAGTCACTATGCACTACAGACATGTTTTCGAAATCCATTTAGGCTTTCTCATTTTGTCTATATTTATTGATATACAAAAATATCAGATGTAATGACACAAAATTGGACTTATTATGCTTTTATGTTCTTTGAAATATATACAGAGAACAATTTACTGTTCTGTACATTGTGCATCCGCAAGACTTTTAAAATGAAGCTGAAGTCAAGATCAGAAAAAATAATGTCTCCGGTACTTGTGACAATGGCTGCATTGGGGAAACATATCATGTTGGTGCCTCTCAGCTCTTATTTGCATGGCGTGCAGTGATGTAAGAAAGACAAAGAGGGTGTGGTAATACTGGAGTCGACTTTGGAGTTACAGTATGTGTACTGATGTGGTTTGGTTAGGAGAGGTTCTGCAAACCACACGGCAGCATGTGGTCAAATGGTCTCCTCTAATAGTGTCAGTGCCTTGAGTTTGGACTGGCTCACAGTTTAGAGTCCAACAGAATGGAGATAAGAGGCAGCAGAATGCAACATCTTTTTGTGTTCTAGCATATTAATTTGAGCATGATATAAATCATAAAATACTGCCAGAGGCTATTGCTGAAGCAGATACAACTCTGAAGCCTTGTCCTGATGCAGCAAGTATACATTAAGATGTAATATTCATATTATTATTAAAAGTGTTGACTCAGGGGCCATAGATGGATGTAAAAACCAGCAATGCTAAAGGTTACATGTGTATCAGGTTAATTTTTTATAGACTGATATATGAATCATTGACACTAAATTATTTGGCCACTGTCCTTGAGGATGCTTCAAAATGATTGTGAACATTGTAGATAATACTTACCAATAATATACATACCAATAAGCACAGTGACCGTTACCCTTTGAGGGTATTAATGCAAAATAATACACATTCAACCGACTTTCCCCCCACATAATTCACATTTTAAAAAATGTATATACAGTTCTTTTACCAATTGTATCTTACTATGTTCATTCCCAGCTAAAAATAAATAAATAAATTCATTACAATCAACCAAATAACATTAAATCACGATCAGGATTCAGGAAAAACACTTCTGCCTGTTTGGTTGACCTGACAGACTTGCAGCTGTCATGCCTCCTCCTCCTCCTCATGGCAAACACACACTTCAGAAAGCACCAGCTGCACTCTGAGTAACATAATTACGGCGTGACATTTCAACGATAGTGTACCTGGTCTATATGCTACATGCCATTTGAGAGTTAATTTTGATGGTATTAAGTGGTACAAGCTATGATGAGGAGTCTGATAATGTTCACGTTTATTCTTTAATCGATGTGATAACAGTGCAGAAGTGCTACCAGCTGTTTTCCTCGATGTACAGAGTCACAACGTTCAGCACACAGAAACTCAAGATCTTTAAAGCAGCTGTGTTTAACATTCAGCATTACAGTAAATCAAACAGCAAACAACCATTTGCTACGTAAAGATAAAGTGGAGTAATATGTCTACCTGAGCAGAGAATGGAGTCGCTCTCCCTTTGCGGTTTATTTTCTTATAAGAGCTTCTCCTTGCTTTGTTGACATATCCGGGCCGGCCTCGCATGCTTCTAGTGCATGTTTGTGCATGTGAGCGCAAAGTCTGAAAAGGCGCTACAAAAATACACATTTTCATTTCAATACATTTGTAACAAAAATGTGAAAACTTGAGTGTCTGGACAACATTAGCTGGTTTCAATTTCCACCAATGTGACAATTTACTGTTTTTCATATAATTTAAAACTGAAATGTCTTTGAGTTTTGCACTGTTTGTCAGATAAAATGTACAGTTTGAATTGAGCAGCTTGCGATGTTATGAAATTGTAAAAACTAAAGAATTTTTCGGAAAAACTAATTATGCGTTATCGATAATGAGAACAGTCATCAGTTGCAGCCCTAGCAGAGGGATTTAGCTTTATTACTCAATGTGAAGAAAATCATCTTACTTGCATTAGCATTGTTTTGGTGACATGTTTTGCATACAGATCTTACAGCGGCAGAATGTGTGTTTTATCTTCATTCCCTGCTGTTTTTTTCTTTGTCTCTCTCCCTTTGCAGTCAAACAACTTATTCCCTTCTCTTCACTGGCGGAGTGAGGACTACCAAGACATCCGCTCGCCACAGAAAACAGCTAATGAGTGTGCTGGTTATTCCCTCACACTACTGTGAAAAACAGTGCTTGAACTCTGACCTTGTGAATACATGCATAATTGTAGAAACAAGAGATAAATATTTGGGTATACTTCTTCAAGATGATCTACAACCCACGCTCACTTTCCTGTTCCTGGTAGCTCTCAGATTGTATCAAAGCAGGGCACAAATTGCATCTCTAAGACAGATAAGCGCTCGCTCCTAGCTATAACCGATGTCATATTAGGGAAACTGTGCATCCAAGTGGCCATCAGTTTTTAAGTGTGTGCTTAAAAACTGTGCTTGTCTGGAAGCCAGGCCTCCCCTCTCCTCCCTACTGTGACACCACATATGGCATAAAGGCCAGTCTGGACTTGGCCTCAGGGAGAGGAAGGAAGAGGATGGAGGTGCCCCGAAGCTCACAGCTGATCCTCAGTGTTGCTGCTTTCTCTGGCTAAGCCACGCTGTTTATTCTGGGATCAGCAGGCGTTGTCATGATAGGCTATAACGGCATCTCAATGTGCCGATGAACGAGGAAAAACCCAAGAATAACAATAAAAGAAGCAGCCGTCACTACCATCGGGAGGCAATGACGCCGCAATACCCACAGCTAATAACGGTGGGGAGTGAGAGCTTAGCTAAATGAAGACGACTCGAGGGGCTTTCTCTATAGCTTCCAGGAACACATAGCAAAGTCATCTTAGTTCTTTTAAGGCCATAAATCTCTACTGTGTTCACTGCTGCTACAACTGATTAGGAAGGATCGGTTACATTCCAGCAGAAGACATTTCTCTGTAATTGTTGAAAAAAACTACTGCAGTCTTTGCACAACGTAACCTTGTTTTTATTATAGTTGTACCTTAAAGCACATTTTCCAGTCTGTGTGATTCATTCGCCTCAACACGTGCTGTCCTCCACAGACACACTGGAACAAAACTGATGGTGCTAAAATCTAAAGGACGGCACAGTGTACAAGTACATTATTTCAAACTGGCAGAATGTGGATCTCTCCAAAAGGTAACACGTTTCTTTCACCAGATTCAAGATCTTTTGATGCAGGAAGAAAAGGACGGTTCTGACAGCTCGACCAAATGCAAAATGTAGTGATAATCTCACAGGACAATCTACACATGAGAGCTCAAGGATTGCGAACAGGAAATTCATATACAATTCTTCCTCTGTGAAGCATTAAATAATTCACTGAAAAGCACCATAATAGTAGTTTGATTCCAGCTGTGAATCTCCCACACTGGAACAAATATCACTTAAATACAGTTTTCTGAGGGAAATCTAGTGCCTCTCAGTTGCCAGTGATGAGACTCTTATTTTTGTGCAATATCATCTTGAATATGTCTTTATGAAGTTTTTGCACTCAGCAAATTGTCCATTCTTAGATGGGACCTCTGTATTAAACTGTTCCGAAAACTGAGAATAACTAAGCACTTGGTATTTTATCCAAATGACATCATGTCAGATTATTTTCCTTATACACAAGACAATAGTTTGCATACGTTTGTGAGGTTAGTTCGTTTACACTTTGGTGTCAGTATGCATTCGACAAACACTTGTTGCTGTTACACTGTAACAAAGGATGAACGTCTGAAATTGTTACAAACACACATCAGCTTCTTAATACAACATCAAAGCTCGGACCATAACTCATCCTGAAATCAAGGCAGACGGCTGGACATTCGCAATTATTCAGGATTCATCAGAGTTCAGGAAAAGTTGAGGATGATCTGGCCTGATTGGAGGAGATGGCAGCTACAGGTGCTGCGTGTCTACATTAACATTCACCATCTCTTTCAGCAGGCTCTGCTTATGAGTCGACGTGTCTGCTCCCCTGTGATCTGCTCCAACGGCCTCCGATACACTGCTGAAACCTTGTTCTCTGTAAAAAAACAAAAAAAATCAAGTTTGTAGAGGGGGAGAATTTATTTGTGTTGAAAATTAAAAGACATTTTGAATAGCATACATAATAGCACACTCGTTCCTGTCAAATACTATGAGTAGGCTGATGCATAAACTCAAGAGAGTCGACTTTTTAAACAACATTGGAGGATAAATATAGTTTATTATGGACTTCTATGCAAAGCTTGAGCTATCATTTCCATCAGTTATGATAACTCAAAAGGATTGCTGAGATCTAGGAACATGGCAACAACGCTAAAAAGAAGACAGATTAAGCACATTCTCAAGTTTGGATGACCTGGTGATTGTCTGACTGCTTCTGTGTGTGTGGCCCTGCCGACTGTTAAACGCTACATTCACAGATTTCAGCAGCTCACTTGGTGAGTGAAATGTTCCAATAATAAGAACATTGTCAAAAAAAAACTCCAAAAAATGTCACACTAAAAGATTGACCCTGACTTTATGTAAGGCAAACCCTTTTAGTCCAATTCACAGCGATACTCACTTAAGAAGCTGTTCCAATTCTCGCTTTATCTTCGTCACTACGGGCGGACCCTGGTAGGTCAACGCTGTGTAAAGCTGAACCAGTGAAGCACCGGCACGGATCTTATCCATAGCATCCTGCCCACTGGCCACACCACCAACTCCAACGATGAGCACTTTACCTAAAAAAAAAAAAAAAAGTAACATCATAAGTATATTTCATATGTACTTTCTTCAAACTCAGATGATCGGAAATGTCGGTGTGTAAATGAGTACCTTTAGTGAGGTTGTACATCTCTCGCACAGTGCTAGTAGAGAGGTCTTTGAGAGGCTGGCCACTCAAACCGCCGACCTCAGACTTATTAGAATCCTGAAGTGTTTCCGGTCGGGACAATGTGGTGTTAGACACCATTAAACCATCCACTCCCAGCTGCAAACACAAAGGAGAACAAACACCAGGGAGAGGACAGGAAGTGAGTCACATACAGGTGCATCTCAATGAATTACAATATCCTACATGGACATACTGTTCAGTAGGCCAACATTTCTGTATCAAAAATTTTTTAAATTGGTCTCACGTAATATTCAAATTTTCTGAGATACTGAATTTGGGGTTTTCATTAGCTGTACGCCATAATCATCAAAATTAAAAGAAATAAACGCTTGAAATATATCACCCTGTGTGTATTGAATCTATATAATATACGAGTTTCACTTTTTGAATTGAATTACTGAAATAAATTAACTTTTCGATGATATTCTAATTCATTGAGATGCACCTGTATATGTGCCTGTATCTTCAGGGGCAGATCTGATGTATATAGGCGACTATGCATGAAGACCTCTGATGTGAAATGTACTGTGACAACAAACGAGAGACAGAGTGCTGTTTAATTTTAGCTTTTCCCTTCTTAATGTCTCTTCCATTAAGGTTTGCCTACTCTTCGCTCCAAAGAGCACAAAAACACCACTCCGTATTTAAAAAAAGTGATGCTTTTTGCACTACTGCATCTCTTGTCCGTAAGTGTCCTTCAAAGAAACAAAGCAAGCATACGGACTGAACCCATCAGATGAGACGTGATGAATGTAGCCTCCCACAGCTGCTTTAGCTTCCACACGCAGCAGTAGAGTTAAGATGGATCGCTTCTTACCAAACGTAAGTCGGATAATACGAAGATGGAATAACAAAATGGCTCTTGCATGACATGTTGCATAACATGACGAAACTGTACATGTGCATTCAAGTATTATTAGTAGTAATATACAGACATAATCAACTGAAACTGTCATCATACCCTGAAAAAAAAGACATTTTAATCTCCCGTTTACCTGTAAAATAAAATCCGGCCACCATGTTGAAAACAGTCAAGCCAAAGCCAAAAAACGCACTTTGTTTGGACACATGCTGAAGAAATAAAGTTTATTATATTCTTTATTACTAGTAGAGAGATTTAGAGTTACCTAAAGGACCTGAACTTCTTCTGGGTTTTTTTTCCACTGAAAAATGTTTTTCAAGGGATAAAAGAACACACATCCACTAAAATAACACCACATATTTAAGATGTACACTATAAAAGCAGAAAGTTTAAACCTGAAATGTATTTTTTTCTGGTATTTTTCTCAATAGCCAGATTGACATTCTGAAAAATGAGAATTAAAATGTATTCCTCCAAAGAACAAACTAGTCCACAGACACAAGGGACACAATCCTATTTGAATTAAAGCTGCACATGCCCATACATGTAAAGCTCAGCAGAGATTACAAATGAAAATGTTATTATATTACATTAATATCATAAAATAAATCTCAAAGAATACAAATAATGTGATTACAATGAAATTAAAAGTACAAACTAGAAAATCAAATCAAACACAGTTAGGAAATAAAACGGCTGAACTTCAAACCTCAGTGACGACATCAGCAATGTCTCGTTTGTCCTGAGAAGTGAGGTCAGGAGCGATCTTTACCAGGACCGGGAGTTTGCGTTCCCCCTGCAGGGCATCACGCTCCTTCAACACCTGAGCAGATTGGACGAGAAAGTGTATCAGGTGAGGCGGCAGAGAGAGCTACAACTACTGGAGACTAGACAGAAACCTGGTGTACTGTGATGACAGATCCAAACACTCAGGAACGGGAAGGATTGAAAAGTCAGCCTTTGAATTGATGGATGACGTGCTCCACCACAAAAATACAGAATAGTTACTTTGTTTAAAGAGCAGCCTAACACCATGTTGAAGCTTGAACGCATCCCTTTGACAAATTCAAAAATCTCTTTCAAGCCTAACGATGGGGTTTGATACCGGAACAGGTAACCCGCCTGCGGAAAAAAGCCGTTTGCTAAAACCCAGTACATTAGATCTCTCCTTGTTATATATAAGTGTAATGTTGTTTGTACATTGTCCCTGTTCAAATAAAGAAACATAACTTTTTATCAAATTTCTCTGTAAAGTAATTTAAGACATTGATATAATTAAGCTCTTCTGTATATGACGGTGACTTTATTTAATTTATTATTATTATTATTTTTGAGGAGGAAACGGTGAGCACTGAGGCCAAAAGATGAAGTTTCAAGGTGTTTTAGTCACTGTTGGGTTCCAACCCAGTAATTTAGTGAACATTTGGACAGTCCTACCTTATGTAGGAGCTGGCGGAGCGCAGCCTTCCCCTGTAGATCCCGGAGACCTGGCGTATTCGGGCTGCTGACGTTGACCACCAGGTAGTCAGCCAGCGGGCCCAGAACTCTCACCCCCTCCAAGTAATCTGCCCCTGCGTCCTGGGACAACTTGTTCTTCCCCAGGTTGATGCCCAGGGGAAGGCCAGCTATAAACACAGACACACGTACGCATGCAAATGCAAATACACACACACACACACACAGACAGAAAAAGTTCAGACAAGCACAAACGCAGGATGCATAATCAGACCCATGACTCAACTGGGGCAGAGGCTGCTGATGAGCTAAATAAGCTGGAAGCAGGTATGGATCAGACACGAGGAAACGTGAGACAAGGACAGGCCAAGATCGTTCAAATAGAATAAAAAAGTGTATTTGACCACATACCTAAGTTAGTATTTGGCTTCCCTGTTACAAACACACAGTAACTAGTAAATAATAAATGCACACCGGAAAAAAACAAAAACAGGACAGATTCATTTCAGACTTATTGTAGCAATAAAATTGAAAGTAACTTCGATTTTTAAAAGGGAAAACTAGAAACAGGTTGAAAAATGTCCGACTGAAATCAGAAGTTGCTGCCTGCTAACCTTCACTTTGCTGCTGCTGTGTGTCTCTCCTGGCCTCGAGCCTCTGTTGAGCTGCTGCCAAACCACAGCTGTTGAATCCATATCTGGTTAGAAGCACACAGACGCATTTTGTAACTCCAGATTTGACAATTTCCTTGCAGTGATGACTTGTTGATAAACTAATTTAATCTCCCCTTTAAGGGTCAAAATACATTTTTGCGTATTACGGAATTTGGTCAAAAGCAAGTAGAAACTGTGTGATTGTGTCTATGTGGGGCTGAAATGCAGAGAGAATCCTCTCCCATAGAGACACTCTGCCTGTCTGCCTGTGTGCCTGTGTGCTTACAACCATGAAGTCTCAAGATAAAATAATTTTATTATAATGAGATGTTTCTTGTTGTAAAATACAAACTTTATTGTTTTTGCAACACACATAATCATAGTGAGGGATCTGCAGCCCGGTTTATTCGTATTTCTTGGTATAACTGCATGCATAAATGAAGCACTATCTCAAAAGTATATTGTGGAAATACTGGTAATGTTGAATAAATTCTATCTAACTAGGTGATCCTTAGAGTGAACCTAATCAAGTCACTCAATAAAAACATCTATAGAATATGTAATATTTTAAAATCAGATTGTTAGAGATACAGTATGTAACTCATAAATATAAATTACCATAAATTACCAAATTGACTGTATATAATGAAAGAGAGACACAAAATCAGGAGAGAGCTGGTGAATAAAAGATTTCCTTCATTTGGCTCATTCAATACGGTGTTGCAAATAAAATCTGCAAAGAAAACGCGAGTAAACCCACAAACTCTTATTCACACACACAGCTTTATAAATGTGAAATGTAAGAAGCATAATCTCTTTGAAGATACTGAGCGATGTGAGAACAATATACACTGACATTCGTCTCCCCTGCTCTTGTTTTCTGTCGTACGGATTTTAACATAAACTACGAATAATATGACTCATTTACTGTTACATAAATAAAAAAGGGCATTGATCTACAGAGCACGATCGATAAAAAGAAGAGAGGAAAAAATGACATGTATTTCTACAATAAAGCAAGCAACTCAAAATCAGAACCTACCTGATCCACTGAGCAACATGTGTACAGTACCTAATAAAATGACAGCTGAGTGTTTCCTAATATCTAAAAAACACTGTGACATTGATTTCAACCATATCACCCATGTTGTGTAAATTCAGGTGCGCAAACCATCTACACTGTCTATTCCGTATCAAAAAAAAGTACCTGTTAATAATTGCATGATCTGTAGGGAGTCGAAACACACGTGGTTGGGGGTTCCCCTCCTGAGGTTTGGGAGTGATTGTGCCCACTTCAACGAAGCCAAAACCCACTTTGTACAACCCGTCTACGGCCTCTCCGTGCTTGTCGAAGCCCGCCGCAATCCCAATCGGGTTTCTAAACTTTAATCCCAGGACGTTCATTTCCTGTAGATGCATAAAAACAGAACAAAGTCGCGCGGTGCCTTGGATCGATGGAAACATATTGTGAGCAGGAAGTGAGGCCGTGTGCTTACCAATGATGCAGGGTCCTGGTAGCGGTTGAGAGGAACCAGACCCAGACCAATCATCTTCACTGCCAACACATGCGCTGTCTCTGCTCCCACAATCCTCTGCAGCAGGGGCATCAGCTGATTGGTGTAGAAACGCTCATCTCCGACCGCAGTGAGGTAGGAGGCAAACAGAAGGCTACCTGAGCCGATGATCTTCACGGCGTCTTTTAACTGCTTCTGTGGACAAGAGCATGAAAAAAAGTCTTTAAAAAGGCACTCGCGTCAAACATTAATTACTGTGAATAATTGTTTGCAGTGAAAGAATTTTCGCAATAACCTGATTTTGTATACGGTGTTTAGCTAAAGGTCTATTGGAGAGACTTTGATGGTGCTTAAATCAGCAATAACTGATTTTTTTTTTGGACCACTTGGTGTGAGCAGAAACACATTTTGAAAAATGACAAACCATCGCGACTCGATTCACAATAGGCCTTATCCATGAACCGTGAGAAGAGCGAATTTGTGCGTAAATGAATGTTCTTGACCATGTTTACTGTCATTTCCACATCACTTTAATTTATCTTGAATAGGTAAAGCAGCCATTTAGAAGAGCTATACCTTTCATAAATCTTTCTTTCATGCATGTGTTGTTGAAAACATATACTATATATTAAATACTTTATAAATTACACCAAATAAATGCATTTAGGCGGAGTTAACAGGCTTTCATGTTTTCCTCTCACCAGTAAATCAATCAGAATAAATGCTAGCTTTTCATATTAGATTCAATGTTTTAAATTGGCTACAATTATCAGATCAATACCAACATTCAGGCTCCCTCAAAGGTGTACTGCAGGTATAAATGTTTAATAGAAGATTGGGGAAGGAAGTCAGCAAATGTATTTGGCGACCTTTAATAAAATCTCCTTCGACCCCCCCGACCTAATCTTTGGGCATGACTGATGTCATAGACGGAGGTGAACCACAGTTTTGGGAGGTAATTCTCTCTACTCTTGTGAAGAGATCTAATCATTCAGAATAATTGAAGACACCAGTGTGGATGGAACAAGGCTGGACAAGGACTTGTAAATATTTGGCCGATAAGAATAAGGCATTTACATGAACAACAATGGATTATATCTTCTAAATGACTCACAACCCTTGAACAACAGATTTAATTCACAGTCACAGTGTTTTGGACTCAACATCTGGACAAGACAGATTACTGTAAAAGTTCTTGGCAAATTGATGAACGTATAGTTTATGATGCTAATACCACTCAGTAAGAGTGTCACTGATGTTAACAGAATAACTTTCAATCAATTCTCCCTTTAAAAGACGTACTCTTTAGTCTTCGTTGTCATTAAGATTCTGATGATACATTCATGAGTACATTACTTTAATGTTGCAGCTGGTAAAGGTGGAGCTGATTTCAACTGATTTACAAACTGTGGGGCTTAATCTTTAACGATGCATCACAATGTATCAGTTAAGTAGTTGATTGATCCTTATTCTGTATTAATGATCTACAAAGTAACGAATGCTGTCGCATAAATCTAGTGGAAAATAAAGGGTATTATCTTCCAAAATGTAGTGGAGTAGAAGTGTAAAGTAGCAAAAAAATACTCAAGAACAAGTAGTTCAAAAAGTACAGTACTTAAGTAAATGTAGGTCTAATAAGTTACATTTCTCCACTGTTGATATGTGATTAGAGCGAGGCTAACGTTACCCTTCGGAGGCGATATGACTTTAGATACGTCTCTCTCTCTCTCTGTTACGTTAATTGCCAACACTTTGCATCATCTTAAATACATAAAGCAGCTGTCTTACAACAACCGTCTAAGTTTCCAAAGGGCAAACAGAGCTAACAGCAAAGACTCCGCCACTGCATGTGTTTCTGTATGCAAAGAGGCAGCAAAGCTAAGCTGCAGTGTTTCCTGGTTCAACGTTACTTTCAGGCGGAGCAACCGAGCTAACAAACAGGAACTATCACAGCCAGTTTCATGGCGTCGGTTAAAAGTGTCCGATTACAGAAAAGAAACAGGGATATCGAATAAATGGTCTCTGGAATTACCTTCAGATGTCCCGCCATGGACGCAGTTCTGTCATTGCATTAAAGGGCATTGGATGGATTTCCTGACATGTTACACAAACACACGCGGTAGCAGCTTCCTCCGCACTGTCTCGCGATATTTCACTCCTGGGTTGTGTGAAGAGTGGAGGGAGGAGAGGAGAGGAGAGCCGCATATGTTGGCCCAGGGCCATTCAGTTAAGTCAAGGTGCTTCTCAAGAGGCAATGTGATGGCAATGAATATCTAAGGTTATTTAGGAGGAAAGTTGATTCGTTTTAAAGTCATCATTATAATACAAATGATAATAATATACCCTACAGTATGTTTTTCATGTTAAGTTAAAGTGTGTCCTTGGTCGGGGAAGTTCAGCTTGTGTGACCTTTGGTGATGACAACTTCACTTTGCATCTTGTTTGAGTGTCTGCAGTGATTTTCCTAATCTATTGAGAACACATGCATAGTTTGCTCTGGAGACAACTCTCTGATTTCCATGTGACAGACGGATGTGATCTTGCTCAGCTCCAGCCACGGTTCCTGCAGCACTATGTGCTTCAGCTCTTTACATTATAATAACTATGGGCATGTTACTCCGAACCTCTGTTTTTTTGTGGATTTCTGTGGAATTTCTATCTTTACTGGAAAAGTCTGAGGCCTGTACTGGCAATGCCTTCCCCGCACGGTGTGAATTTGTTTTCAGAAATGTCTGTTTTGAGTTTGTTGGGGAATCTGAAACCTGGTCTCAAGCCAGGGGTAGCTGTGAAAAGCGAGGTGGCGAGCTCCTGAAGGTGATGAACAGCACGATCAAATTGTTCCTGAAGAACATCACCAGAGGAGGAAACACCAGCAACTTCTCCTGGTGGCTGGGAGAGGGGGTCCAAGAGCAGTACCAGGTACCCATCAAAAGTGAGTTAAATACACACACAGACACACTGCATCTCTCTTTTGGGTGTTTTTTACTTGAGATCCTTGAAATCAAGTAGTGTCTGTTCAAGACCTCCTGCCACAGGTTTTACATGCATGTGATGGACACACAAAAATGTCCCTTTTTTCTTTAGGTTGTTTGATTTGATAAATGATCAGAGGCCTTGTGGCTAAAGGTTATTCAATATTGTTTTAAAGAGAAAAAGGCACTCATTGCAAATACCTCAAAATTATACAAAGGAAGGTTTCTGACTTTCTTATGGGAAAGAGGGCTGGGTTTCATTTGAAAAAAATAAATAATGATATATATTAAACATTACAAAATCAGTACTTGAAAGATTCGGAAATATGATACGAAACGTAACTTGTTATATTTAAACAAAAATCTTTTAGTTCATCCAGACAACACCAGACCAATACGTCTTAACTGCATTATGAAATTACAGAGCAAAGAATTTAGATCATTAAAGTTGTATCTTTTTTTTTGTTCAATGCGTCACTGTTGAGATTGACTTCACTTCAGGCACTTTTGACGGAAAGATATTGCTCCCTCGTCCTTGAGTTTGTCCCTTTCAGTTGTTGTCATTACAGCATTCACACTTGTAAAGTGTTTGAATCTATTCTTGTGCTAGAAATTAGGCCATTAATAAAAAATGTTCGAGCAACAATGTTGATAATTGATAAATCAGGTTTTTCAGCTTCCTAAAATATGAGAATTAGCTGGAATTGTTCTCTGTTTTATCATGAAAAAGCAATATATTTTGGTTTTGTTGGTTAGCCCTTACACTGCTGGTAAACTGTAACTGATGTGGCAAATTCCACTATAATTGACGAGTCTGAATAACTGACAGATTGCCCAACATTTGTTTGTCTTTACTGAGTTCAAGGTGATGCTATTGTAACTCAAACAATGTTGAAAAAAAATTAAGCGCTCCTCATGTCTGTGTGTGTTTGCATACACACACTTCTTTTTTTTGCAAAACAGAAAAAGCTGACGTTTTAAAGGACAACTGCACGTACATGAAGCTGCATCCTCTTCAGGTCGTCATGGCATCTGACTGCAACCAGAGACGAGGCTTCCTCTGCACCCACAGTATGCATCAACAGCTTCTAATCACCGCTTTAACTTTGTTGCCTTTTCTTCCTTTCTTCTCTTGTATTCATAACAACTGAGAGAAATGTATTCGTTTTCTTTTTTTATTTCACATTACATGCGATATGCAGATTGTTAAAAAGTGTCATTCTTGTTTTGAAGATGTGTGTGAGTCTTCGTCAAACACAAAGGTAAGAGAAACGTTACACACTCAGTAAAACGCCAAACAAACATCCAGACTCACATGCTGCTTTTGTTCACATTTTCTTTGCAGAACACAATAGTGTCCAGTCATGCAACCTTATCTCGTAAGTTGGATTGAAATATCATGTTTCATCAGTTCAATTAACAATGAAAGTTGGGAACAGAAAAGCCATAACACTCAGTTTGTGTTTGTGTTTCTTTCTCTGTACTTCTAAAACACACTTTGATTTCAGGACTCAAAAGGGATGCAAATCCCATGGCTTCGTCTGTTACAAACATTGGTAACCTTCTCCTGGTGAGAGATGCCTCATTTATTTCACATGCACACTGTTTGACCAATGAATTACAAAGGGCATTGATTAGTAATAGCAGTAAATTATACATCAAAGTTCACAAGTGATGTTTTTCTGAGACAGGAAGCAGATAAAGAACTACTGCGAATGGAAACCACTATAGGGGAGCCGACAGACGACAGCAGGGTGGGTACCGTCACTCTGAAAAGCCTGTTGTATTACGTTATTGTTGTTGTTGTGGCATTATTCACCGTGTCATGGCACATTAAATGAAAGTCTGTTTTCCCTTTCACAGGACATCTTCATTGATTCTTTGTTGAATGGCGCTAAAATTCTGACTCCAGAATTCACTGTGCAAAACAGCGACACTATCAGTCACATCATCAACTGTAGCACCGGCATCCTCCGTCTCTCAATGAAGAAATGTGACATCAATGCTAACCCGAACCCTGCCGTAAGTACTGCACTGTACACATTTTGTTGTCATTATATCTGTTAAAATTAGGTGACGTTGCCTTTTTTTTCCTCTCCAGTCTTTGTTTGAGGAAATCTTTGAGATCTTTCGGACAGTCTCACTGCTGGTTGGTATGGGAACTACACAGAATGTTATTATCAGGCACCCATCAGGCACCATCTATCAGAGCAAGTAAGTATTTTCTTTCAGAGAATCGTATACCAAATATTTCTTTCACTACCAGTTTTGCATTCTTAAATATGTCAGGAAGTATTTCTATTTTATTTTAACTGCATTTTATTATTTTCCAAATGTCATTTCCCTTCCCCAAGACACACGCCAACTGACCTCAGCGATGCCGTGCTCGGTTCAGAAAAAGATGGTGGGTTTGTCAAACTCCCCTCGTATGCAGCACTCGGGCCTCAGCTTGGAAAGTACGGCACAATCATCGCTCAGGTCTGTGTGGTATCGTCACGTGTATGTGTGCTTGCACCTTTTGTTTGTGTCATCTGCAGCCTCTCAACAGAGCTTTTGTCCCTCTTAGCTGGCTGTATTCTCAAATAATCCCCATCCGTCTGACAGCAACATCACAGGAAGTGTTTGCAGCCTTTTTCTTAGTGATGGAGATACAGAAATAAAGCTGGCCAACCTGGCACAGATGATAGAGGTACAACCAACATGAGAATTATGTTCCAAATTGGGGAGAAAAAGTGATACATATACTGCAACTAAGAACAAAAAATATTGTTATTGCCTCATGCATATAAATGCATATAAGTATACCCTCGTGGACTTTCAGGGGAAGTTTTCAAATGTTACTACACAAAGTCAGAAACTTACATTAATTCATATAACTTAAAAAACCTTCATGTCTACAATAAAATGATGTATATTGCTGATTAAGTAAATGCGAAGCAAAGCTGCTAGATATATCAAGGCCAATCACAGCTTCTCCACATTTGTGAGACAAAGTTAGAAAAAACATAATTTTCAAATGACTATTTTTGCATAAGATATATGTCCTTGAGCTTCATTTGAATAGTAATACTAACTTGCTTTCTCTGGTTTCTGCAGATCTTTATGCCTCGTCCAAATGCTTCAATACAGACGAACAGCACTGTTGTGTTGGAGAAAAACACACACGCTCTGACCACAATCAACGTCTCCGATCCTGATATGACCATCTTTCTCAGCGTGGAGCCCAGTGCTAATGTGTCATTGACTCTTGTTTTGTCTGAAGGGTCACCTCCTACCAACACATATTTCAGCAACACGACCACCTTGAGCCCAACAGGTAACTGTTAATAATACAAGCAGGCATAGCTGCTTTAAAGTCATTGAGTTTAGACATCTCCGGTAACACTGTGTGGCAATAGGACCGCTGTGATTGAGATGGCTGTAATAACAACACAAAATAGTAATAGAGGCCATTTTACCCTGGTTTGCTTTGAGCCCTCACTTCTCTTGTGCATTATTAACATATCAGATAAACAATGTTTTATTGGTATAGTGGCTCTTGGATTATGTTGGCAAATTTATGCAACAGGAGGCTATCGCTGGATGATAACCCCAGGGATGTTACAGCAGATTCCTGGAGTCTTGTATGTTTCCGCCGGCCTCTTCAATTCTACTTGGGAGCCGAAGCTGACGCTGAGGATCACTTCCTTTATGAGCAAGTGCTTGTACTGGCACATAGAGAGGGAGACATGGAGCACTGATGGCTGCCAGGTGAGTTGAACTTGGCTGTATTCTTTTGGCTCTGCATGTACAACGATGTTGCATATCACACAGTGATGTGCTGTCTTTGTCTCAGGTGGGGGACAAAAGCACTCCAGAGCGAACTCAGTGCCTGTGTAACCACCTCACTCTCTTTGGGAGCTCCTTCTTTGTGATGCCAAACTACGTGGACCTATCTCGCACGTCAGAGTTGTTTGCCACCGTGTCTGAGAACTACGTGGTTCTGGCACTGCTGTGCGCTTTCTTCGGGCTCTACCTGGCCACTCTGCTGTGGGCCTGCTATGCTGACCGCAGGTCACGCTCTAAGGTCAGTCTCTGGAGTGGTGGAGCTTTTGTTTGGAAACTAAACTCTTCGTATCCATTCCACTGCCCAAATACAGCAATGCATGCCAACACATTCATAGTATGCACCACAATGT